TGGAGTTGGGGCGGGGGCGTGGGCGGGGCTGGGGGCGGGGCCCCCGGGGAGTGTCCTCCATTTGGAGGCACAAAATATGGTAACCCTACAGTTAGTCTGTAAGAGCAGAAACCCCTCAGACAATCTGTTCAGGCCAGTTCTGTTCAGAATTCCCCTCTGCCCAGAAAGAGCAGGAGAGTTTGGAAAGGCCAAACACAAAGCAGCAGTGCTGAATTTGGGCCAGGGTTTGCCAGGGCTGAGCCCCGGCACCTCTAGGCCGGGCCGTTCCTCGCCCCGGCACCTCTAGGCCGGGCCGTTCCTCGCCCCGGCACCTCTAGGCCGGGCCGTTCCTCGCCCCGGCACCTCTAGGCTTGGCACATCAGTTATGAAAGTAAAAAGGTTACTTGAGCCCCGGCACCTCTTTCACTACAAATTAAGCACTGCCAAGCAGGATGTCACCATTGCCATCCTCCAGCATTTGCGTCTGAAGAGAGCCTCATGGACTCACTGCTCCTGCTTGCCACCCTAACCCTGCTGCCAACATACATTCTGAAGACCAGAGGAAGACCTCCATAGGTCCCCACTGGGCCACGGACCACACTAGGACAGCCACTAGTTTTGCAAATATGTTAACCTTTGACAAAGCGAACACACAAAAGCATCTTAGTTTGTTTGCTTCAAACTCCCTCCTTCCCACCTCCAAGAATATCCTCCAGCTAGAGTCTCAGGCCTTATCGATACTGGGAATTAGCCCCAATCTCAGGAACTGACTGCCCGTGTGGGCCTCAGCCAATGCCCATTGAAATCAGTGGGAGACTTTCCACTGCTTTGGAATAATGGATCAGGACCCATGGGCTAAGATTAGGGTGATCATCTTGTGAAGATCCGCTTACTTGAGTTTAGAATGGGGGGAGCGCAAAGTTGGACAAAGCTAAATTGGGAAGGATGGAAGGATATGCAATAAAAAAAAAAAAGAAATAGGAATTAATAATGGAAATCAGGGTGTAACCTACACTGTGGGAGGAGCATGGTCTAGAAAGTTTATAGCAGGTGAACGAGGCACCAGGAGAACTGCTGTGACGGGGGCATTAGACAGGCACATGATAAGGCAGATGCATGACCTTTGAGAAGTCACTTAACCTCTCTAAGCCTCAGTTTCCCATCCATAAAACAGGGATTCTAATACTCACCTCCTCCCTGTGGAGAAGCTTAATTAATGTTTACTCAGCCCTGTGAGATGGTTATAGGAGAACTGCTATGGCCCGGCAGAGACTATTATTAAAATAATAGAAAACACGGGGCCAGTCTCTGATCTCCTCTGGGGATGGGCAAGAGCCACCTGTGGGAAGCACCAATCTGCCAACCAAGTGGCCAGGACATAACATTTATCACACGAGCAAGGGGAGCCTTGTGCTAGATCACATGTCGCACGGGTCTAGCACTGGCTGTGATGTAACACGGCCATATGTCCAGCTAGCTTTATAGGCCCAGAGAAATGCGGCCACCCAGCTCAGCAGATTCCTGAGGGAGTTTCTTCAGAGCCTGCTCTTTAGCACTCATTGATTTTTTTTACCATTGGGCAGTTTCTTTCTCTCTCTCAAGATGAAGAATGAACACAATTACTAGTGAGCAAAGCATGCTGCAGCCTGCGATAAGGGTGTATGTAGCCCTGGGCTGCAGAGATGGGGGCATCCATCCAGTCCCATTTTCATGGCCAGACCAGTCTTACGAGTTACACTTGGATGGGTCTCACGATATCTCGGGGACTGATTCTCCATACCCCGTGGTAGCCTCAGACTCTTTAGAGGAGAAGGGAATGAAGCAGCCTCAGGAATTCAAGGGATTGCTCACTCTGTTCTCTGTGCATGGTGCTGCATTTCATTGCATGTCCATGTATCACTGCGCCTTCCCCTTAGTGCCTGGCGTGGCCTCTTATTGGAGGGTGGAATGTTACCCCAGAAGGCCCATTACAGATGATCTATGAACTCTATACCAAGTGTTGATTGAGATAATTGGGACCCAATTAAAATACCCTGCCGCTCTGTACGAGGCTGCACCATGAAGATCAAACAGGGATGGGGCGTCTCTTTTTTACAGTGTCATTGATCAAGCGCGAGTGCCCTGTGGAATCATGTTGGAACAGGGAGTGAAAGCCTAGCCCCGCTGACGTCAATGACAAGATTCCCCTTGACTTCCGTGAGCTCCAAATGTCATCAAGGGTCTTCAGAGCTACAGGAGTGTGACCTACCCAGATCCCTTTATATAGTTCTATGGGAACTCAAGGGCTCCTCCTTGGCCCAGAGATTCATGTGGCCCCCCTAAAGTCTGGGCAGGAGATGCTGGGAACAATGAAGGGGAGAAAACCCAATGCATAAAATAAGGATGTTTACTTCCTGCCTTGCCCCAGTAGCCTAAAGAACAAATCCCATTCAAATAGCAACCAATTCTTCTTTCCCTTGCTGCCCAGGTCTTAAAGGCCTGATTGCCAGAGGCCCCTTAACGCCAGTGCAAATCAGCGGGATTAGCGGGTGCTTGGCTTTGCAGAAAATCCAGCGCAGCCTGCTCTTATAGCACATTTTCAATTGCCATCAACCCTCTGGGAAGCTGTGGGGGCTTCCAAATCCATTTCTTCTTGCTAGGGCGACATTAGGGGCGAAATTCCAACTGGAGGGAGAGGGCACCTGTCAGCCTCTGTGAAGAGCACATGCTTCTGTCACAGGGGTCCGTGGCCAGTGGCCTGGCATGACTGGGGACTCAGCCAGCAGGAGAGCAGGACTCGAGGGCAAGGCTGAGAGGACATCTTGGGGAGAGCTCTGGCTGCAAGATGGAGTTTTGCTTCTTTTCAGACAATTCCTTTGCCACTGGGTGCCTTTCTCTGGGTTAGTCCCCAGACTAGCATTGGTCCATCTCAGGTACAGACCTGCCTAATACAAAAGTAAATTCAGCACAGACCGGTCGAGGCCTTCAGGTGGGAGGCTGTCCTGTATTCCCTCTGCCCTCCGCCAAGCCTTCTCTTGGTGGCAGGAGAATTGCCAATCCAGGGAGCACAGAGGGGTAGGAACCAGATGGGGGACAGGCTCCTCTTTGGGGAACACAACTGGGAGTATGTCCTTGTGGTTAACCTTGGTGGAGGGCCGAATGGTTGGGAAGCCGTGGAACCTGAACTACAAACACCGGGAAGCTGGCTGCTGCACCACAGAATGCGTTTGCTAAAGAGCTGATGGAGAAGCAGGAGGCTGGCAGCAGATGGACCATCCAGAAAATCCATTTGAGTCCTAGGCATGCTGGGAGATAAAATCCTAGGAAAAAGGGACCAAGAATCTCGGTCGTCCAAGGAGACAAAGGAGATCTGGAATCACAGGGAGAGTTGGATTTATCCTCTTTAAGGGCCTGATCCAAAGCCCACTGAAGTCAAAGAATTAGATTCCGATCATGAGGATGATCTTACATTTCTATAGCAGCTTATCTCCTGAGGGACCTCAAAGCACTTTGCGAACTTAAATCACTGTACAAACCATACACAGAAATCACTGTGCCCACCACTGAAATGCCACCACCCCTGGGGTGAAACACGACAACTGATTAACAGCGCACAGGAACACTGAACAATACTTTTAGGATGAGAGCAGTGGAAACTGCAGGAGTTGTAAGTTAAGGGTGACTTGATTACAATCTAATAGTAGCTACATAGGGAACAATTACTTGATAGGGGGCTCTTAGCACAAAATACACACTCTTTCCCTCTGTGTAGAAATTGACCATCAACAAAGGCCATGTAGATTAGACAGGTAATCAATGGTTCTTCAACACATAAACATAGAAAGGATGCAAATTAACATTAAAGGAAGGCGGGGGTGGGTGGGTTACACACACACAAATAATAATAATACCTGGCTCTAATACAGCACTTTTCATCCCTAGATCTCAAAGCACTTTACAAAAGAGGTTAAGCATTATTATCCCCATTTTACAGATGGGGAAACTGAAGCACAGAGCGGGGCAGTGACTTGCCCAGGGTCACCCGCCAGGCCAGTG